CCTTGAGGTGAAGATCTCCTCGAGTATAAGTAACCCCCACAGTCATAGTACCTTTTAAGTACCTGAGAATGCGTTTGACAGCAGTATAATGAGCTACCATAGGCTGCTGCATAAATTGGCATACCTGATGCACTGAAAATGCAATGTCAGGCCGGGTGAATGTAAGATACTGCAAAGTTCCCACAATACTTCTATAAGCAGCAGCATGAGCATAAGGATCACCATCATCTTTAAGGAGTCGACTATATGGAAGGCATGGTGTGTAACAGGCATTGGCTTCAAGCATGTCAATCTTTACTAACAAATCATGAATGTATTTAGTTTGGTCCATCCCAATTTGCCTCTGGAGGTTACAAAGTGTTCAATGGGCATAAAAATAAGGGCAAAGGCAAGTATCAGGGACACAAATTCTTCAATCCCAGACCTGTGTACTCAAGTCCAGCGCATGTTTCATCTCCTTTGCATCCGGTATTCTTGGTCACTCTCCTATATCTTCCGTGGGGCCTTCATCTACACCTCTGTTTCTTACCTGTCAGTTATGTAACAGTGGTGGTCACACTGCTCCATTTTGTGATGCCAAGCCTCCTGATAGGCATGGTTGTCAAATATGTGGGAAAACAAATCATTTGACTTGGTTTTGTTTCTACAATGATAAGGGACCTAATTACATTGGTTCTCTTAGATCATCATAATCATATGGGTTTCCATCTGCCCCTCCTAACCATCACATGTTGTCTCATTCTTCTAAGTATTCATATCAAGGGTTTCCACAGCAACATACACCTCAGCTACAGCAATCTCCAATGCATGCTATGCACACTATGTTCAATTCTACACCTCAAACTGCCACTCCATCCGCACCTCCACAGGTTTGGCTGACTGATTCAGGAGCAACCAATCATATGACGGCTGACATGAGCAACTTATCCCTGGCATCCCCTTATCCTACCAGTGAGACCATACAAACTGCCAATGGTGAAGGTTTACAAGTCTCACATATTGGGAATTCTATCATTCATACTCCAGCAAAACCAATCAAATTAAAGATATCTTTCTATAATCTTTATATAAAATGCAAGAACTAGAGAGAGAGAGTAGAGAGAGATAGAAGAAATTTCTGTAAGATATCTTTCTTATTGATTAAGTAAAGCAACAACCTTGCCTTATATACGCAGTTACAACACTAGTACTAACTAACTAATACACCAAGATTGTGACAAGTGTCACAATCATGGACCATTGAATGTAAATTCTAACAGAAGCACCTAGTGGAAGCAGGATGGGAAATTATTCAAGTAGAAATGATTTTGTTGACCGGCTGCTCTCGATTGCTGGCCATGATAGATTCCGGATTCTTTAAATTGGAGAGGGAGCGTCCTGCCTTTTCTGTTAGCGGTGATTCAATGTACTATGTTAAAGATCGTTTTCTCCGCTTCTATGAGTTCTCTACCCAGAAAGGCACTCAGATTATCCCTATTCGAAGGCCAACCAAGTTATAGCTAAAAATCTGAAAGATCATTGGTATCGATTGGTAATGGAGGCTTTTCGTCAGGGTAATGCAGGCATTGTAGAATATGCATATCAGAGGACATAGAATTTTGAGAGGCTATCATTTTTATATCTTGTGACTGGAAACTTGGATAAATTGTCCAAAATGTTGAAAATTGCTGAAGTCAAGAATGATGTGATGGGCCAGTTCCAATGCTTTGTATTTGGGTGACATCAGAGAGCGTGTTAAGATCTTGGAGAATGCAGGTCATTTACCTCTTGCTTATAGCACAACTGTAATTCATGGGCTCCATGATATTGCCGAACGTTTGGCGGCTGAACTGGGAGATAATGTTCCTGTTTTACCCAAGGTGAAATCTCCTTCTCTTTTGTTACCACCAACGCCAATCATCTGCGGAGGAGATTGGCCCTTGTTGAGGGTCATGCGAGGAATATTTGAGGGTGGTCTTGATAATGTGGGCAAGAATGTTGAGGAAGATTACGAAGAGGCTGCAGATGCTGATTGAGGAAGATCATGTAATCTCTTTTTCAATAAATTAGACTTGCCTATTTGTATGGAAAAATATCCTCAAAAAATATTGCATTTATAGATTCTATAATAGTATTGACATGTATATCACTTACTTCGGAATGAAAAACTAAGAATCTATAAGCTGAACTATTAGATGCAAAACCAATAAAAACACAATCTATAGTTTTAGGCCCTAATTTTGTTCTCTTTGGCAATGGAACTTGTACTTTTGCAAGGCAACCCCACATTTTAAGCAATTTAAACGTTGGAGTTCTTCCTTTCCATAATTCATATGATGACTCCTTTCTCGTTTTAGGTGGAATTCGATTCAAAATTTTATTTGCAATAAGTAAAGCTTCACCCCACAAATTGTGTGGAAGCCAAGAACTATTCAACATAGAATTAATCATGTCTTTAAAAGTCCTATTTTTCCGTTCGGCAACACCATTTTGTTGCGGCGTATAGGGGGCTGTTGTTTGATGAATTATGCCATGTGTGGCACAAAATTCAACGAAAGCATGAGACTCATATTCTCCTCCCCTATCAGACCTTAAGACTTTAATCTTCTTGTTAAGTTGATTTTCAACTTCTGCCTTATATGTCTTACACATATCCAAGGTCTCATCTTTACTATGAAGTAAATAAACATAACAATACTTACTGAAATCATCTATAAATGTTACATAATAGTTCTTTCCACCACGAGTTGGATATGATCTAAAATCACACAAGTCACTATGAATTAAATCTAACAAATCATTGGATTTTTCATGCACTGATTTAAAGCTTTGACTTGCAAATTTCGATTCTGTACAAGTTTCACATTTAACATTATCTAGATAATCAATTTTGGGTAGCAAACCTAAATTATGCATTCTAAAAAGGGAACGGAAATTTACATGTCCTAATCTAGAATGCCATAAATTAGAAGAATCAACAATATAAGCAGAAGCATTATTTATTTCATTCATAGCATTAGCAAGTACATTGAGTTTGAATAATCCATCAGCAAGGTAGCCCTTTCCCACAAACATTCCCCCTTTAGTTAATACAAACTTATTGGACTCAAATACTAGTTTGAATCCCTTATTACTAAGGATAGGACCAGAAACAAGATTCTTCCTTATATCGGGGACATGCAGCACATCAAGAAGGGTTAATTCCTTTCCAGAAGTGAATTTCAGAACACACTTCCCTATTCCAGCCACAACAGATGCGGATGCATTTCCCATAAACAGCTGCTCGTTTCCCTCAATTTTCTGGTACGAAGAGAACATATTTCTATCACCACATACATGGCGAGTTGAACCAGTATCTATCCACCAATCAGCGTGGTCAGATACAAGGTTGATTTCATAAATCATTGCAGCCAGTGCATCCACATTGTTTTCAATCAGGTTTGCGCGGTTGTTGTTGCCTTGATTTCCAGAACCTTGATCCCTTCGATGGTGACATTCTTGAGCCCTATGGCCTTGCTTTCCACAAACCCAGCAACTTCCCTTGATTTTCTTGAAGTCTTTGCCTTTCGCACTAGGGATAAAGTGGCTTTCCTTCTTCTTAGTTTTCTGGAATTTTGGCCTTTGCTTTGATGAACTTCCTTCAACAACATTCGCCTTGGCTTCCATACTCGAAACCAGGCCCTTCTCATTCTTTCTGTTATCTTCCTCAATTCTCAGCCTTACAATGAGATCCTCAAGGGTCATCTCCTTTCGTTTGTGCTTGAGATAACTCTTGAACTCTTTCCAAGAAGGTGGCAGTTTTTCTATAATGGACGCCACTTGGAAAGACTCATTGATTACCATCCATTCAACATGAATGTCATGGATGATTTTTTGGAGATCTTCAGTTTGAGAGACAACAGACTTGGAATCCACCATTTTGTAGTCCAAAAATTTGCCCACGACAAATTTCTTTGAACCAGCATCCTCGGTTTTATATTTTTTCTCAAGTGATTCCCAAAGTTCCTTGGCTGTTTGAATGCCACATAGACATCATACAACATATCATCTAATGCATTGAGAATATAGTTTCTGCAGAGGAAATCATTATGTTTCCAGGCATCAATGGCCGTTAAAGTTTCTGCAGAAAATATATTTTCTCCATCTCCAGTAGGCTCAGTTTCACGAAGAACATTAGCCAAGTTCAGTGTTGTCAAATAAAACAGCATCTTCTGTTGCCATCTTTTGAAATCTCCGCCCTTAAATTTCTCAGGCTTCTCAGAATAAGGTTTAGTTCCTGATTGTTCCATACTGTTCGAAGATTGTTGGAGAACAATTCAGAAATAAACAAAAATAACAGGAATTCTAATATTTTATTAACCAAAATATACTTGCTATGCAAAACGTAAATTACACAGTAATACAAACTTAATATACGAATATTAATGCAACTAACTTGATTACAGAAGGTAAAGGCTAGCGTAAAAGTTATGTCCTTCGAACAGTATTTCCGTCCCACTCCTGTGCTTGTGGTTCTACAACGTCTGCTCGATCAGGATTCAACTACCTAATTCTACAACCCGCACTGGATTATAGAATTCTAGCGAATTTGCTTTGTGTGTTTACTCTCTGGAAATTTCGTACAGAAGCAAGGAGGAAGAAAAGAAGATGATTGGAATGGAACTGAGGACTCCAATTATATAGGCTCTTTCATACCTCTTCAAATACCTTTTGGATGTATCTGAAGCTATACAACTCTTTCCAAAGAGTTGTGTCTTTAATCAAAACGTTTTGAATTAATTTTAATTAAAAACTTAATTCGAAAATTAAAACTAATTGATCAGATTAATTAATATTAATTAAACTCTTTCCCAAGGCCCTTGTCTTGATTAATTAATATTAATATTATAGTATAATCATCAAGCCCAATCCACACAAATGGTGGCCCAAGCCTCAATTCTCATTCCAAGTGGTCCAACATCTAACTAATATTGTAGAGGACAAAACATATATAAAGGACATTGAGAATCTTGTTTTCTCCAATGTGGGACAAGAGTCTCAAAACTCTAACATCAGCTACACCTAATGTTAGGGGTCCTCCTGCTCTTGTATTTACATTCTCAGAGCTAGAAGAGAAGCTTAAGGCGGGTTACAAGGCCACAACCCAAGGGAAATTTGCTGATGCTTTACGTCTTCTCCTTGGTATTCTGCATACTATTCCTGTGATCGTAGTTGATTCAAGGAGAGAGGTTGATGAAGTAAAAGAATTAATTATCATTGTAAAGGAGTATGTTCTGGGTTTGAAGATGGAGATTAAGAGGAAGGAACTTAAAGGCGATCCGGTTCGCCAACAGGAGCCAACTGCTTACTTCACCCACTGCAACCTTCAGATGCCTCACTTGAGACTTGCATTACTAAATGCCATGAGTGTTTGCTATAAGGCTGGTAATCTCAACACGGCAGCTAACTTCGCCAGGCGACTTTTGGAAACCAACCCCACCATTGAAAACCATGCAAAGACTGCAAGACAAATCCTGCAAGCTGCCGAAAAGAACATGACTGATGCAACCCAGCTAAACTATGATTTCAGAAACCCATTTGTGGTTTGTGGGGCAACATATGTGCCTATTTACCGTGGACAGAAGGATGTGTCATGCCCATACTGCAGTTCTCGGTTTGTTCAGGACCAGGAAGGAAAACTCTGTACTGTTTTTTATCTTTCAGTGGTTGGATCAGATGCATCTGGTTTGCTCTGTTCTCCTACCCAGATAAGATGATCTCCTGCTACTCAAGTGGGAGCAATTTTTCCAACCTTCAAGTCCGACAACGGTTATGTTAGTTTTCTCATCTCCTTGAGCAGCTTTCTGCTAATTATATTCCAAGATGTACACTATTGAGAAACGATGGATTATCGGCTATTGAGAAGTCGATGGAATCTCGGACATCATCCTCTCGCATTAACATTTCGATTTCCACGTTTTCGTACAAGCTAGTCGCACCAATAGTTTATGCTAGTACTAGAACAACATTGGGTCTGGGTGGGTGTGGGTTGGTTTGGGTTGGTTTTGGGCCAAAACTGAAACCAAACCGACCCAGTTGGTAGGGCCAAAATTGCAAATTGAAACAGACAAATTTGGGTCTAAAATCGATTAGGTCGGTTAATTGATAGTGGCAGGTTGATTTGGATCAGTTCTCGTTTTGTGTGAAGACAAAAATATATAACAAATTCCTCTCTCAAAAGCTACAGAACGTAGCACTAATATGAGTGATTGCCCAAAAGAAAGCACAAATGAAGCAACCCAAAGAGAGCAATAAAGCAGCAACTGCTGTCTTCTCGAAAGGGAAATTTTATTTGAACCCATGTAACCTATTTTTACACCTAACTTAAATGTAAATTGTTAATTGTCTATTTTACCGTATTGCATAATTACTATTAAGTACAAAATGAAATTAATAATAAAACTCAAATTTATCAATAAATCGATTAAACCCTACCATCACTTTTTGTTTATCCTACATTCATTCTGACTAAAACCCTAAGAGGTCTTGTAGAGAAAAACAAGTTGACGTAGAACGTTTAGCGGAGGAATTTGAAGCACAGCTTGATAGGCGCAGGGTGAAGACCAATAGGTCATGAGTTACACGTTATGATTTAAATAACATTCAATATGTATAATTAATCTGGCGTTACAAGTAGAATAAATAGGCAATGTAAGTGTTGCTCTAAGTTTCATCTTTTGTATTCCAGATCAATCAATATAGTCTTTGAGAATTCTCTTACTTTTTTTTTGGTGGATTCCAGATGAATCATTAAGGGTGAACGTGAGGATCCCTCTGTTTATCTTCTTGCTGCGTTAGTTGGCATTAGAGCAGGTTTGCCTTGGCTCGATGGCAAATGACCCGACGAATGATAGGACCCATCCTGGCGGGGAACCAGTTTACTCGAGAGAGTTTGATGCTCTTGCTGCAAGCGTTGAAGAGATTCGGCAATTGCTTCTCAACATGGGAAACAACAACAACAACAACAACAACAATATACAAAATGATCGGGATAACCGACATGGTGGTGGTAGAGGCAACCGCAATGGTCATCCTCAATGAGAGGCTAGTGAATCGGATTCTGAGAAAGAGATAGAACATCCCGGGATCCCACATGCTACTAATCAGAACAACCGACAACCTATTGAAGATTACCGGAAGAAGGCCGACATCTCTTATTTTAATGGCCATCTATCCATTGAAGGATTTTTAGATTGGCTTGTGGAGGTAGAAAGATTCTTCGAGATTATGTCGGTACCGGAGGAGAAGATGGTTAAGATAACGGCTTTTTGCTTGAAGGGAAGTGCAGCTATATGGTGGGATAATTTGCAGAAGTTGCGACAGAGGCAGGCCAAACAATCGGTCAGGACATGGCGTAGGATGAAATAGTTGATGATGGACTGTTTCCTTCAAGTGGATTAATATCAGCATCTCTATCGCCTCTACCATAATTGTACCCAAGGTAGCACGGCAGTAGAGGATTATACCGACGAGTTCTTAAGGTTGGCAGAAAGAAATTCTTTGAATGAGACTCAGGGGCAGACGGTGTCAAGATATTTCAATGGATTGACGACGTCAATACAGTATAGAATCGGGTTACAAGTTTTTTGGGATGTCCATGAGGCTCAAAATATGGCTATGAAGGCACAACAATTAGAGAAAGAACTGAAAGAACGTGAACAAAATGAGAAGAAATCGAGCTATGGCAATAATAATAATTACCAGAGAAGGGCAGCAGATTCTTATGTTCCTAACAAGGAGAAGAAAAAGGTTTAGCCGGCCCAAGGAAATAATTATAAAGTATTGGAAGTAGGGTTAAAACAACTACTCAAGTGTGTAGGGTTAGGGTTAAAGCAACCACTCAAGTGCACTCAAGTAGGGTTAAAGCAACCACTCAAGTGCACTCAAGTAGTACACTCAAGTGTGTCTCCTAAGTGGTTAATGATTTGTTCTCTTTTCTTAGGAGTCCACCGGTTATGGCATAACTCAAGGAGAGTTCATCTTCTTATATTTGGCTGAACATTTGTAATGTATTTATGAAAGAAATGATATACAATCCTTGAAAAGCAATATGGTATCAGAGCAGGAAAAATAACCTGCTTCTGCTTTACTACCATCTGAACGTGTTCAATCTTCAAAATGACTGAAGACAATCCTCTTGGGTCTGATGCTGAAAGGTCATTGGTTATTTCCTCCATGAATATGCCCGAGGTGGATGTCAATCCAAATCAAAGATTAAGCTCAGTCTTGTTGAATGAGTTTAATTATTTGCCTTGGTCGAAGGCTGTATCGCTTGCCTTAGGTGGAAGGTCCAAGTTAGGATTCATAAATGGAAGCATCGAAGTTCCTGATGCTTCCTCACCAGCTTATGAATCCTGGCTTAGCAAGGATCAGTTGGTTATGTCATGGCTCCTGAATTCCATGGAACGTAAACTAGCTGAAATATTCAGTTACTCTGAATCTTCACTCCAGCTATGGGAGACTGTCAAGGAAATGTATGGTAGTCAGAACAATGCTGCATGGGTTTTCCAATTAAAGAAGGACATCTCTAACCTGCAACAAGAAGGTAAGCCCTTTGTACAACTTTTAGGTAGCATGAAAAACATGTGGAATGAGTTGGAAATATATCGCCCTCATACCACTGATGCGGCTTTGCTACAGAAGAGAGCAGAAGACAAGATATTTCAACTTCTGTCTAGTCTCGACTCAGAATATGAAGACCTACGAAGCCACATACTCATGAACACTGAACTTCCTTCCTTCACCATTATTTGTGCAACAATTCAACGTGAAGAAGTAAGGAGGAAGGTCATGAAAATTGGTACAAAGGCCAATGTATATGAAGCAAGAGCCTACCTAATCAATGAGAATAAGTACAAAGTGAAGCATCCAAACTTGAAGTGCCAACACTGCAACTATACGGGCCATGTTAAGGAGACATGTTGGATTTTACATCCAGAATTAAAACTTGATTTCATGAAGGACAACAAGGGTTCACAGAGAGTGAACCGTACTGTACATCGAGCAAATCATGCGTCTGCCTCCTCTTCCAATGTGTCTGACACAGGCAAGAACTTCACAGCTAATCCAGCTGCACTCATGAATGAGTTTGCATTGTATCTTTAAAGAAAGAAATGAGGGGCTGAAAGTGACCGAATAGACAATGTTAAAGACGGAAACCCAACAGCTTTGCTAGGCAAGTTTGCTGGTTTCTTGGCCGACACTAAACACATACCTCAAGAAGACATGCAAGGTATCATGAAAGCTTTCAAAACTGCTCTTAATATAAATATGTTGCATGATTTTTGGGTTGTAGATTCGGGTGCCACAGACCATATGACCAACCATTTGTCTAAGTTTCATAAGTTTGAAAAATTATTAAATCCTTCCCAAGTTTCAATTGCAAATGGTGAAAATGCAAAGGTTTTAGGAAAGGGAAAAATCAACTTAATATATGATGAAATTGAGTCGATGACCTTGTATGTTGGAGGTGTTTCCTCTACCAAGAATCGACCTTGATGCTTCAACAAATAGAGTTCTCAACCATGTCAACAATGAGGCATTACTCACTGAAAGGGGCAATGAAGGCCCTCACTCTGATGGTACAACGTATAAAGATGGTGACAATCAAGATGATCCTCACAGTGTAGCTCAAGATGTGAACGAGTGTGAGACAACTCACACAACAGCCCCACGACGCAATCCAATGCTTGAAAGACAACCTCCACCAAGGTTTCAAGACTTCGTCACCTACAAACCCAAACATCCAATCTCCAATTATGTGTCATACCAAAAGGTAACTCACTCTCATGCTGCATTCCTAAGTAACATTACAAGTTGTAGTGAGCCTCAGAATTTCCATGAGGCTAACAACAAAGCAGTGTGGAAAGAAGCAAGAAGAACTTAAAACTCTAGATCAACACAAAACATGGAGTATAACCACACTTCCAAAAGGAAAAAGGGCTGTGGGTTGTAAATGGATTTATAAGATCAAATCCAATTCAGATGGCTCAATTGAGAGGCATAAAGCAAGGTTGGTGGCTAGGGGATTCACTCAAACTTTGGATGTAGATTACAAAGAAACGTTTGCCCTTGTTGCGAAAATGAACTCAGTAAGGGTTCTATTGTCTATGGTTGTCAATAAGGGATGGTCCATTTACCAAATGGACGTGAAGAATGCATTCTTACATGGTGATCTCGAAGAAGAAGTCTATATGAAATTGCCACCAGGGCACCCTCAAAGCAATAAGCATGATTTAGTGTGCAAATTGCACAAATCAATTTATGGACTGAAACAATCCCCCTGAGCTTGGTATAGTAAGCTAAGCTCAGTTCTCACAAGTGTTGGTTTCAAAAGAAGCAATGCCGATTCCTCATTATTTGTTCGCATTGGAACTGTGGGCAAAATGGTTGTGTTGATTTATGTCGATGACTTAATAATTGCAGGAAATAGTGCTGAAGAGATCTTCAAACTCAAACAGTCACTCAGACAAAGGTTTCCAATTAAAGACCTTGGGGTATTGAAGTATTTCCTTGGCATAAAGATGGCAACTTCTCACAAGGGACTATTTCTAAATCAAAGAAAGTATATCCTGGATTTGCTCAATGAAGTTAACATGAGAGATGCCAAACCTACAATTACTCATCTGGATAGCAAGCTCAAACCTAGCTTGGAGGGCACGCCACTCACTGATATATGCCATTATCAGAGGCTTGTTGGTAAGTTGATCTACCTAACAATCACCAGACCTGACATCACATATTCTGTAAGTGTCGTAAGCCAATTCATGCACTC